CAGCAGAGACTTCTTCCAGGGCTGAATCACACAGTAAATACTGGAGAAATCATGGTCTGAAACAGGGTGGCGGGTGGGATGCGGTTTCAGTTATCCCCTGATGTGATAACTGAAACACAGTTTTTATAAAACATAACTGTGCAATGTATTTTGATCTAAACTCCTTAGAAACAAACAGCCCTCCTTTAATTTGTTTATACGTTTTATATCTTTCCATTTGCATGGTGGTTTTTGAAAAAAACTGATCCATATATTTTTAAGATATAACAAATAAAAGGCCATTGTATCTAATGAAGATTAAAAAATAAATACAACTTTATCTGAAGGTCAGGAGCTCCCCAGTGTGTTCAAAAGTCAGAAGTGCAGCCCCTTTTAACCCACTCACAAATGGATGGATTTAGATCTTTCTTAAATTAGTAATAAATAAATTACTAAATCAAGAAGCAATTATAAAAGATTTCATATTTTAGCAGCCTGTCTTCTAAAGGTAAGTATTATATTTTGATGCTGTCTGTAATGACAACTTCTTCTTCTATAAACACTCCAACATCTATTAACCAGTTATCTTGACATGTCAATTAAAAATAGATTAAAATCAAGATATTGAAACAGCTGAATTAATTAACAGTAATTTGCTTATAGCTGAGCTAAAGTATAATTTATATTAAAATTGTCAAGAATAGGGATGATGAGGAAACTGCTTTTAATTTTTTTTCACTTTTGTTTTTCTATTATTGATCACATAAGGCCAAATTATTTATAATTTCATGATCAATATTAAAAAAGGCAGTAAATACTACACCAAATATAGATATTTTTTAATCAGAAATACAGTAGGTATTTGGAAGTCTGGGTAAAATATTTGACTCAATGTGCAAACAAATAGGTTATTCTGTGGTCTCTTTAATGAACATTAGGATTAAGTGCCAAGCAAGTCAGATGTGAGGTGAAGCACAAGTCTATTTATCTAATTTTAGAAACATGCATTGTCACCTAATTGGCAGGCAAGGAGCTGGAAATGTTGTTGAGCAATAGCAGGTAGAACTTCACACATATCCAACACAGATTTGGCTTTGGAAACTCAGCCTGAAGAAGGGCTGGATTCTTTCCTGGGAGAGGCATCTTGACTTATGTACTGAACAGCATTTCAGATAAACACAATCCTTTTGAGTCCCTAGATGATGTATTGCAAGGGTTGTTACTGGTGGTCGTGGTAAATGGCCTGTACGCTTATATAGCACTTGACCAAAGCACTTTACACTACATTGAGTCATTCACCAACTCACACACTGATGATGATGCGCTACATTGTAGCCACAGTTGCCCTGGGGCTTACTGACAGAAGCAAAGCTGCTATACATGGGGGCAACCCTCTGACCAACATCAGTAGGCAACGCAGGTGGCAATATGGATGAAGTGTCTTGCCCAAGGATACAATGATACTAAAGGCCGGAGCTTTGGCATGAACCGTCAGACGCTTGATTGAAGGGCAAGCTCCTGCATCCGACACAAAACAGAGGGTGGATCTGGTTCTGAGTAATAAATTGTTCACCATATAAATAATCACAGACAACCAGAGTTAAAATATTGGTATCTTTATTGTCTATGTCTGTATAATCCCTATTTCAGTATTATCATATCTCATAACTATGCAAAACTACAAAATTAGGCACAAGGTAAATGAAAGGCTAATAAAAAGGGTAAAAAGGGGTCTGTCCAAAGAGAGTAGGGAATGTTCAAGTTTTATGGCTTGATATGTTGATAAATTTAAGCTGTAAAATAGCAGCAGATACATATAATTGACAACTGACATTTCAGATATCTTAGACACAATCAAAACAGTGAAGCTTCCTTTGGTTTTGCATTGAATAATGAACAGTGACTGCTTTAAACAATTAAATGCATTCAAATGTAGCTGCACTGGAGCAAAGTGGGTTTGCTCAGGTCTCATCAGGAGACCAGGCAATGAGGGAGGTCCCAGCCAAGACAAAGGACTATAAATCTTTGTCCTAAGATGGTCGCCCCCACGTATACACTTGGCTGAAGATGAGGTAGCCTGAAGCTAACAATGATAGCCAATTATACCATAGCACCCTGACTCTAGACAAAGGGAAAATAAACAGAGACAAACCCATACAGCATCATCTGGCTCAGTGAGAATAAGCATTCAGTTCAGAACTCTTTTACTTAAAAACCATCAACAGGTAAAATTAAGAAACTTCTTTGAGGCAAACACAAAACACGACACATAAAAAATATCTATCCTAACCTCGCCCAAGTTTATAGTACCTCAGTAAGCATCAGATAAAAAAGGGAAAAGGCATTTTACTGTGTAATGACTTGGGTGGGAAGAAAGGAATGATGTTCAGTCTGGTTCAGTTTAGAAACACAGTCCACCCGCTCTAACACACAGTTCTCAGAGAGACTTAAAATGCAAAACAACAGAGGAAGATTTGCAGTGCTTGATATGATCACTTACAGCAGCTCTGAGTAGACGTCTCATCAGCGTTGATGCAGCGGCACAGCTGCAAAACAGCAGCTAAAACAGTGAGGCACAGTGAGGCAGCTTCTCAACACAAACAGTTGGGCCAGGACCGTTCCATGGGCAGCAAACAAGGGTTGATCAGAGTAAACATTTTTTTCTTTCATTTTTTTAAGAGCAGAAGAGATTGTGATGAAAAGATATTCTGTTCAGTTCTCTCTGAATCGTAAGTAGAACGCAGCCTCCTTCGCCTGTGAACACAGACTCTTCTCCGGAAGTGCTGGCAACATAACATGGTTTCAGCTGAAGACCGGTGCATCTCACCTAGGAGACCCAGAGTTAGTTGAATGAACTGAAAATTCTATGGCTGTTGACTGTATGGGACATAGATCTGGTCCTCAGTGTTGCATGGAGGACTGAACAACCATTGCCTTGGAGTGAAACTGGAGAGTGTGTTCCATTATAGCCTACAACACCCTAAAGACAGATTTTCAATCCAACAAATGAATTGGTTGAATTTGAACAATCTGGTTAATAGTTATGTGTTCAACCAACTTTCTGGTTAAAAAAAAAACAATCTAATTTTGTAGTGTTTTAACCAATCTATATTGGTACAACACCAATACAAATAGGTGTAGCAAACCTTTGGCTACAAGGCAAACTCCTGCATCCAACACCACTGTGCCCACTAATGCTTCTTAGAACTTACTAAAAGTTAATACTTGTTGCAACCAAGGTTAAAAGCCAAGATTTGCATGCTGGACACATACACATCACTGTAATTGTTCTCTTGGTCTATAATTTACAGTGGCCAGGAATGCAAAGAAATTTTACATTTACCTGAGACACTTTTACAAGTTTCACTAAACACTTTTATAAGTTGTCTGTGTCTGTCTGCTTGGCTTTAATGTATGTGATATGCACAAAAACTACTATGCATCGCAGTGTCAAAGCTCTTTAACTCGCCCTTGACGACTCATGAAGCTCTAGTCTGAAAATAAAGTTCAATCTGAACAGGCCCACGGTTTGTCAAACCCATAAAAGTGTTTTGTCAAACATGTGTTTTGCCAAACATCTAAAAGTGTTTTAGTACGTTTTTTAGACTTTTGTCAAATGTGTTTTGTCAAATCTGTAAAATTCTTTTTTTCAAACTTGTAGATTTTTGTCAAATATGTGAAAGTGTTTCAGGTAAATGTATTAACATTTCATCTCTATAACTGAATTGTAAGTTTTTGGAAGCTTTTTATTGGTTGTTTGGTTAACCATTTAAATTGGTTGATCCAAAACCAATGGCTTGGTCAGTTTCCAACCAATATGTATAAATGTAACAAATTTTGGTTCAACTAATTCGATAAGTATTTTTTTTTCAAACGCTTCCATTCTTACAGTCAGATCAAAGTTGAGCAATGGGGCTTTGGCCATGCTCAAAAGTCTTTTAAAAAACATATCTATTTTGTGCAACATTTGGAGAAATACATTTAAAAAAATGGCTCTGAAATCAAACATTTCACTGTGAACCTACAATAAGAGAAAACCTATCTTGTAGTATACAGCCAACAAAAAAATATTTTTCATTTTTTTTCTCTTTCTAGTGTATTGATCTAGTACAGCACAAAATTCAAGGCACATTCGAAACACTGACACAAACTATTTAAAAGGATTATGTCTGTCTACACAACTGCAGGTTGTTATGCAATTCCAATGCAGTCATACTTTATAGGAGGGCAGATCAGTTTGCCTCCCCCGTTCAGGACCTACAACCTATACCAACGTAGCATCTGCCAACCTTCTGCATTACATTAATGCACAGTCTACTGTGTACATATATTGTATATAGGTATACAGTAGATTCTGTATATATATATATATATATATATATATATATATATATATATATATATATATATATATATATTTCTGCACCATCAGCACCAATTTCAATTCCTTTTAAGTACAAACCTACTTGGAACATTTTTTTTTATACATCTGCAGTTTTGGTCTTCTGTATATTTTGAATTGACCATATATTAGTGGGTTACCGCCTTGACTGGATTGAGTAGTTTTCTAAATCTAAATGATAAATCAGTATGGAAAAACAGTTATATGGCTTTGTGGAGTATTTGACAGAAGGACATACTAATTAAAGTTGACTGGCCAAAATTGATCTTTTTTGCTTTCTTTTTTTTTATAAAGCATTTTTAAGACGTCTAAACTGCATAAAAGATAGTTTTCACAAATTTTCATGAAATTTTGGGTACAAATTCACCTGATTTTTTTTTTACCACCTTTGAAGTGTTTTTTTTTTTTTTTTTTTTTTTTAAGAGCAAAATGAAGGTTTTATTAAAAACATTTCTAAAATGCACATCATAAATGATTCAATGGTATTTATGCCAAAAATAAAAAAAGGAATCAGTATAAAACACAGCCAAAGAGATATATCAGTCTATTAAAGCTCACGGAACTGGAAAAAGAAAAAAACTAAATGGGTCATAACATTTAAAGAACAAACTAAGAAAATGCGATGACCAGAACTGGGCTAAGAACTCCTGTTGACATTAATGAAAAGATTAAATAACTGTTTTGTGTGGGCCAAAGATGAAAGCAGTGAGGATTTTACTTGCTATGCATGGGTTTAAATCATCAATGTGTAATTTATTAATATAAATAACATTGTCAAATGCGGTTACTAATGTGGATTGATGAGGAGCCACAATGGGACATTTTTGAAAAAGGGAAAAAAGCGGAACTTATGAAGCAGATTTTATGAGAAAGTGTGGAGAGGACAAAAAGGGTAAAAGGTCCAACAGAGGGAATCTGGAGTATTCTGCTGACTCACATAACACTAGAATACAGCCGAGTCAGCTATTGCGGCAAAGTGAAAAGGAGATCAGCTTTTTTTCCGGTCTTTATTTCCACTGGAAACCTTCACAGCTTTAACCCACTAAGACTTGACCAAAAAAGGTCTCAGTTTAACATAATGATACAAAAGAGCTCAAAACTTAAAAGTCCTTGTCCATAAATAACCAGGCGTTTGTTTTGCTTTTATTAAGATTGAATAAATATTAAGACTTTATTCCCTCAGTCAAACACATTCTGTTAACTAATTGAACAAATGCAAAACAGAAGAGATGCCGTACTGGGCAAAAGGGAAATTGATCATAAAATGTTAAACACAGAGTCTTTGAGTTTATGACCAGTCAGGATTTTGTTGTTTCATGAGAGAGCAAGGGAGAAGAGCAGAGTCATCAAGGTGAGGGTGTAGGCGGTTTAAAGAGTCCAGTCTTTCTCAAGTAGCGAACGATGAGTGGTACTGACACCACAGTGATGCTGATACGAACAGGAGCAAAGAGCTTGTGGATGGCATAGGCAAGGACAAACGTGCTGGTTCCTGCTGCCATTTTAGACTGAACCAGCTCCTCGCTGAAGCCAAGTTTGCACAGCATAGCCGCCATGTCGATTCCACTGCAGAGCCAAAATACAAAATCAGTTAGAAATATCACAATTTATCTATCTTTATTTATTTATCAATAAATGAATAAAAACATTTCCCCATAAATCATTTAGAACATACAGTAAGATTATTTTTCTTATAATTTGTGTACAACTGAAGGATTCAGATGGATACAAAAAAATTGAATTGAAGCATTTCACTTACTTTTGGTCCTTAATCATTTTGGTCCTTTAATAACAGCATATTTTATAGAACACCACCCTTTCTGTGCCTGAATCAATTTTAGACATTTCTAACACAATGTTCATAATTATAGTCAGGCAAAATAAACATGAAAGGATTCAAAACCCTTTTTACTTCACATATTGTCACTCAAATGTGCGTAACTGCTTTTCTGTCATCTTTTCTGGTCACTTCTTTCCAAATTCTTAGCAGGAAACCTTTCTAAGAGACCTGACCTAATTTATTGATAATATATCGATCTTTCCGTTCCTTATATTGTACCGATTTAGAAAAAAACAAAATTCCCCTAAAAGAGTGCAGGGAAATGCGCTACTTCAGCATCAAAGTTGCAGAAGACTGTGCCATTGAGCCTTTTTGCTGTTCAGCACAAAAGCACACAGTGGCAGACGCAAACTGGCTCCAAATAGCAGCTAAAAAAATAACAGAGTAACTGAAGAATTAATATCTTCAATTTTCAGCATTGTTTTTGTGTCTATATTTATTTTTAGAATATCACGATATATCTGATTTGGCAATATTGTGATAATATTGTATTGTCATGCATATTGTACCACAAACCCTTGCCAATAACAGAGATAGATATATAAACAATAGAAAGTCTTGATCTAACTAATAAAGCCCCTTTAAAAGTATACTAAGAAATGCTGTCATTTTATGTATATAAGTTGTTAGAGGTATAAACAGCTGTGTGCTTTTTTTTTAACAATTATTATTCTAAATATTGGAGTTTTATACACCAAATAAATCTGAGTTACATTAAAATAGGTAGCCGTTTTTATCAAGCTGCTGCATTAAAGGATTAATCTATCTTAATGCTTTTTACACATCTTCACCATGTGTACAAATACTGTATGGTAGAAAAAAATAATGACTTTCTTGTGAACAAAATAAAGGTAAATAAAGTTTTAAACGCAATCATGATGAAATGAAGGTACTTAAAGAAGCTGTGACATTGGTAACTTGCAAGTGTGTGAGCTGCTCCTGTACATTAGTTTTCTGTTGTGTTAACACTACACCACAAGATGGCGACAAAAGACAAGCTGATTATTACTTTGCATTAGGTCTGAGCTTCTAGTGTTAAAAATAAAGATGAGAAATGTTTAACCAATCTAATCAATTCTGAATTGTATTCTCTCTTTTTTTTT